AAGGCAGGGACACAATGGAAAATATTAAATATAAGATATAATATATAACATATTAAATATAAATGTTTGACACAATGATAATAATTTGATGATAGATTATAACAATTTGACCAATGAGTAGTATTCTTCGGCACAGCTTTGTCAGACATAATTGAAATAATGTGGAAAGCAAGACATTAATAATTGTTTCTTTCTGATTACCATTTTACAGACATTAAACTCGACAACAAAACAAAAACACTTTATTTATAAGTTAGTTGGAGAGGCGGTATGGAAATGGTACATTAATTTGATTGGTCAAATATAAGATATAAATATTAAATTCCGACGTGTCGAAAAATATTTCTTATTTGTTATCTTATTTTCCCATTGTGTGTCACTATATGAAAGCATATTTATCGAATTTGCTATTTTATATTTAATATTTTATATTTATATTTTATATTTTTCCATTGTGTCCCGGCCTTTACTCGTATGCCCTACACTCCCTACAGCCTACAGAGGATAAAAATGAAATCGTATCTATCGAAGGGCGTGTTCCTCTCACCTAAATAGTTGGACGATGAAATGTGCAATATTGAAAAATAAGTTTATACCTAAATATAATGTAGTGCAGTATTTGTCATTTCCATTTCTTTTCTTTGCCTCGAATTGGAGCAAATCATAATATAACATATAACAAATAACAATCCATAATCTTTCAATTTTTTTATCCTTTTTGTCATGTCTATGCTATTCCTGTACAGTCTGGCATCATTTTCCTAGAATTCGTTGGTCATTTGACAACATATTTAGCATATCATTTGCCTATAATAAAGTAGAACAAAATTTCCTTTTGATTTTTAGTGGTGTAAACAATTTAAACAACAATTATGTATTTGGGATTGGCTAAAAATTAGTTCGTCTTACAGCTGTTTCGCTGTGACCTTGGACTTCACTCTGTCTCCTTCTGTTACTTTATTGTCGTTGAGATCGTTTCATTTCTCATTAAAGAGAAATAAAATAAAAAATAATTTAGGAAACGACTTCGGAATGTGGATTTAATAAGAATTCGGTATTTCTGTGCCATTATACATTATTAAAAATAAATATAAAAATAATTAAATTTGGCAAGACCGCAAATACCCAATACCTATAGTGTTTGTTTGATAATTCTGTCTAGTAGGTTTATCTTGTCATAGACATTCGTCGTATATACCCATGAATCTGTAGTGTGATTGTGTTGTTTGTCATATTTTGTTTTGTGGTGTACTTCGCATTATATTTTTCTTAATATTTAACTAAAGTAGGAGGCCAGCAACAGTAAAATAGTCTTGCCTGTGATAAAACAGTTTGCTTGTGTTCAAAATGCCGTCGAAACAGCGGAAAATAGCAGTGATGGGGTACAGATCAGTAGGTAAGTTAATAAAATCTACTCAGTAGTCGAAAACCCTGAACATGTTTCTGTCTACAGGCAAATCATCTCTCAGCATTCAGTTCGTAGAAGGCCAGTTCGTAGACTCTTATGACCCTACAATAGAGAATAGTAAGTGAAATCTTGCCATCTATTTATATAACTTGCAATTTGATATCCTTTTCGTAGCTTTCACGAAATCTACCCGAATTAACTCCCAAGACTATGAACTTAAATTGGTCGATACGGCAGGTCAAGATGAATATTCGATTTTCCCTTCGCAGTATAGCATCGATGTTCATGGATACGTATTAGTGTACAGCATAACTAGTACAAAATCTTTTGATGTAGTTAAGTCAATACATGAGAAACTTTTAGATATAACTGGGAAAGGACAGTGAGTACCCGCTTTTCGCAGTTCTCTATGACGTGTAAAACACCATCTTTTCTTTCAGCGTACCTGTAGTTCTAGTGGGGAATAAAACGGATTTGCACATGGAAAGAATGATTTCTTCAGAAGAAGGAAAAAGACTGGCAGATGAGTGGAAAGCAATATTTTTGGAAACATCTGCTAAACAGAATGCAGTAAGTACTTATTTGCCGTAAATTTACTTATTTGTTTAAAAAGGCGCAACTAGGTAGTTTGTTATATTTCTAAATTTTTTAATACTGCTTAAATATTTAGTTGTTACTACTTGTTGCTAGCTTTTTTTTACAGTAGATGTTCAAAAATTAGATGAAATTTACATCTTCCAACTGTTATATTTTTCTTAATATTATAAAGTTTGGTAAAATACAGTGCTGAGTGTTTTCTTATGACATAGGTACATTATCTTATGGGGGCTTTTTAGCATATAATTTTCTTTTCATATAGCTTATTAATTTTTTTTTGTAATCTAAATTGCATCCTGCTGTAGTCACCTAGTTAGTAATTTTTTTTGCATCATATTTACAATAGGCCAAGTTTTTTGGTTTCCTAATACATGTGTAGGATTCTATGTTATAAAAGTCTAACTGTATGCATTTTTTGGAAAATTCACGCCTTTAATGTATTTTTAGTGTTTTTCTTTGATACAGGTCGTGTGTCATAATAAAGGATATACAGGATACTCTGGAAAGGTAAGCTTAAAACTTAGCTGTAGTTACTAAACTTTTCAAAGAGAAATAGGGTAAACCAAATTCCAATTTAGTCTAATCTGTCTAGTTATTTTTAAGTAAAGTTTTTTGTAATGTGACTTCCCCTTTTCGGTCCATATTTATGTAAATATGATGCAAAAATATATCTGTTAAGTATATCTTTAGAAATGAGAGTATAATCATTTTTAAAGAACAGCAGGAGTCATATTACTTCTTAATAAAATTTTCCCAAATGGTTAAATCTATAAAGTAGTTTTTTTTTTCAGTCTGTCTCGGATATTTTTCACATTCTGCTTACAGAAATTGAAAAAGCCGATGGAAATATGAGCGAAAAATCTAATTGCTCCGTTTGTTAATGATCAGCTCTCTGAAAACTAGTCTAATAAATTCCTAATTTGTTAAATGTGACAGAAAAATTGAAAATTAAAATATCTGTCTGTAGATACAGAGTTAATTGTAATTACAAATTCTATGTGTACATACAACTAGGTACATGATTTTATATTAATAATAAGGTTCATAAATTTTTAAGAGGAAATGGATTAATTGGAATGAATTTTCAAAATAAGTACTTTCATCAACCAAGAAAGCCTCATTATTAATAATTCAAAATAGACACTTTAATGTTTTTAAACCTAGCCCTTGTTTATATGTATATACCAGAAAGCACCGTAAATGATTTCCAGTGCTTTTCAAAATGACGAAACAGTATAGTAGTAATGTTATCAATAAGGGATATATCAAAATTTTGCAAATTTACGATTTGGACAATGGGTGTTTCTTTGCTAACCTATGTAAAAACAGTACGATACTTATAATTGAGTTGTAGAAATCACAGCGAGTACAAAAGTAATTTACGCTAGTCTCATCAAATTGTACCTGTCATATTTTCATCTTCTCTGGTACTATCAAAATATACTTTAAAAAATTGTAAATTTGCATACATATATGCTTATAAATATATATATGAGGTAGTAGGCATTTTGACACACATTTGTTTTACTTTTAATTAAGTTGAAAATATTTGTTATTGTACTTGTTTTTTTTTTGTTATAAAAGAAAGGGACTGTGGTATAAATGCAGTGTTGTACCTTGTTTATATTTTTTAGGGGAGAGGTAGTTAAGGCTGATTTAACCAAATCACAAAATTATTTGTAGACTTTGATGTTACGGGGACCATCTTATGCAGTACGATGTTCGATAAAGCTTCTTCAATCAAAAAATTATTCAATTTATTTCCATATTTATTTTTCTGACAAAAAACAAATTGAAATTAAATGTTCTGTCATAACGTGGATTAAAATTAAATATTTAACTGAACGTTTATCATAGGTTGTTTGAGTACAAAATTAATTGAATTTGTACTAGAAATATTAATACTTCACTGCATTTGTACCTTAGGTCATGTTACATAATTATATATTAGTGCAAAATGCCATTTACTTAAGAAATAAGAAATGCACAGGTACCAGCTCAATTTTCAGTGCTTCTACCTACATTACCATAATTTCTTTTGGTGTGTGATTCGATAAGTGATAGTATGTAAATAAGATATCTGTTATTTTTTCAATTGTTTATCGTATTTGCATCATCATTTTCTTGCATCCTATATTTTTATATAAAAATTCGTTGAAAGTACAAAGTAAAAACCACCAGGTATACTATTAGTTATTACATGTTTTTTTAATCTTTTAGTAATAAGTACCTCAATAGTTATTTTTAGGATTCATATGTAATTTATCATATATATAGTTAAGAGTTATGAATACATGGTACTTTTATGATAACATGTAAATGATGCTGTTTTTGTAAATAGCTTTTATATTATTTATTAACTTCCTTGTAATATTATAATAATTAATTAACAAGCTTAGAGTGCCTAACAATTATTAAACGTTAGCATTAACAATTTTGTTTCATTTTAAAATATGTACTACTTTCCCAAATTAAAATGCCTAATCTACAAAAAAAAATACTTTTTCATAAAAATAAATATAATTGGCACTATATATAATGGGCACTGCGACAGATTTGGAATCTGTCGCAGTGCCCAATTATTTTAATTTGTATGATCAGAGGTAAGTTCATATTGTTTTATTGCTCTAGAACAGGGGTCGGCAAGTAATTTTAGGTGGGATCCGGATACTTTTGGAAATTTTTAACGAGGTCCAGAAAAAAGGTTCATATTTCTTACTAATTTTTTATTTTAATTTATACTCAAATTTAATCTGCTTATTAACCATTAAGAACTCAAATCAGTCACATAATTGTAAAATACTAGAAAAAATGATAAGGGTGGCACTCAAAAGTAAAAAAATATTTTTTAAATAATTGAGTAATTTATACTTTCAAAAAATTTTTGGCGGTCCAGTATTTTACCTTCCACGGTCCGGACCTGGACAGCGGTCCGCCAGTTGCCGACCGCTGCTCTAGAATTTAAATAAAAAATTAAATTTAAAATGATCTTAGAGAAATGTTTCATTTCTAAATTCTTACTGGTTTCTTTTGATACTCTTCGAAGGTACCTTCTACTTATAACCTTTCTCAGAGATTAGAGAATAGGTAACAAATCATGACATGTAATTGAAACAACAACTTGCAGGTAAGTCATAATTTAGAGACAGAATTGGCTTAACTTCTTACATGAGTGGTGTTTTTTTAATAACCAATAAAAAATATTAAAATCCTAGGTTGTCGCAGTTTCATTAAATAAGAATTTTTATCCATTTCTCATATTAACTTGTTCTTTCTGAATTGTGGAATTGTTAATTAATATGGGGGAGATATAAAACGTTTAATAAATATGGCAGGTGCAATTCAATACCCCTACAATATCATTTCGAATAAAATTGTACGTGTTAATGAAAATACCCAAAAGCGGTTTAATGGCTCATATATCCAAAAATTAAGCTGCCTCTAACTATGCGATAATCGCACAGTATAATACAAATCAGTACCTACGCACAGTTACCGATAACAACTTTTTTTTATTTTTAAATTTTATTTAAAAATAAGTATATCTATTATGCCAGAAAAGGTGTAAAGAAAACCACTAAAAAATTTTAAAATCCCGCCCCCCTCATAGACAGACAGAAGAATCTACTCCTTTTCAATATGGACGACTTGTTCAAGATCACAATTCTTTATCCTCTAAAACCTATTTATAGAGCTCTTTAATGGAACAGTACTTATAATTATTAAAGTTAGCTTCTAAAATTGGAATATTTTCCGTTCGTGAGAAATTGCCTAAACGTGACAATGACCAAATAAAATTAGGGACCTGTATTATCGGTAAGAACCGGCAACTGGATAGATAGCCACATTTCATGCGCAGTCAAGACAACATTGCCTGTCTTTTGACTTTTGCATTTAAGAAAAGTTGGTGTGTAAATAGGGTGTTTATCTATTAAATTAATTTGCTTTGTAATTTATCCAAGAAAGACACATTGTGGTTGGTTATCTAAGTAGAACGGGTACGTTAGGCTTAAAATTACCTTTTTATACGGCTATCTGTCAAATAAATGTAGGGGGAGGATCTTGATTGACCTTTTCAGGATTTTTTGAATAGGGGATGAAATGGGGTCAGTAATATGAGGGGTATTTGACTTTTTGAATGTTCTCTGTTTTAGGCAAGTGGAAGAGCCATGCCAGCAGTTCGGGGAGATGGCATGCGTGGCTTAGCTGTGTTTATATCAGACATAAGAAATTGTATGAAATCTGTTTATTAAATCCAAAATTTGCAATAAAGAGATATACATGATTTTTAGGCAAAAGTAAGGAAGCTGAAATAAAGAGGATTAACAAAGAATTGGCAAACATAAGAAGTAAATTTAAAGGTGATAAAACTTTGGATGGTTATCAAAAGAAAAAGTATGTATGTAAATTACTGTTTATATTTTTACTTGGGCATGACATTGACTTTGGGCATATGGAAGCAGTCAACCTCCTCTCGTCCAACAAATATTCCGAGAAACAGATAGTAAGACCATTTTAATTTATTGTTCGCTACAATGGCTTGTTTACAAACTGATACCGATTAAGTAAATTTGTCGTTCAAGGCCATAAATCAATCTTATATTGAAACCTTAGATAAGTTGTTTTCATTGCAACTACTTTCTTTAATTTTAGGACTACTTAATCATAATTTTTTTAATTTTAGGGCTACTTATTCATATCAGTTCTAGTCAACACTAACAGTGAGCTTATAAAACTTATCATCCAAAGCATTAAAAATGATTTGGCATCAAGAAATCCTATCCATGTTAATTTGGCATTACAATGTATCGCCAATATCGGCAGTCGAGAAATGGCTGAAGCGTTCGGCAATGATATACCAAAATTACTTGTGTCAGGGTAAGCACAGCCCCATAAAATTTCATTGCTCTTTTATGTTAATCTTTTAGTGATACGATGGATGTTGTTAAGCAAAGTGCAGCTCTTTGCCTCTTGAGATTATTTAGAACCTCCCAGGAAATAATTCCTGGTGGGGAATGGACGTCACGGATAATCCACTTATTAAACGACCAACATATGGGTGTTGTGACTGCCGCTACAAGTCTTATCGATGCTCTGGTTAAAAAGAACCCCGAGGAGTACAAGGGATGCGTATCTTTAGCCGTCTCCCGTTTGAGTAGGGTAAGTAAAAATATATTTCTTGTACCAACTTCGTAATGATTCTTATATATTTTAGATCGTGACGGCCAGTTATACAGATTTACAAGATTATACATATTATTTTGTACCGGCACCATGGTTGTCAGTAAAATTGCTACGTCTGCTTCAGAATTATACACCACCAGGTAAAATCTTTAGAAGTTATTTATTGCGTGATTAAGTATTGTGTATTTTAGCCGAAGATCCTGGAGTGCGTGGTAGACTGAATGAATGTTTAGAAACGATATTAAACAAAGCTCAAGAGCCTCCAAAATCCAAAAAGGTACAACACTCAAATGCCAAAAATGCCGTTCTCTTCGAAGCCATTAGTCTTATCATACACAATGACAGGTACGTTGCGATAAAAACTCGTGTTTAAACTAACCCTGTAAGTTTTTAGTGAAGCGAATTTATTGGTTAGAGCATGTAACCAATTGGGACAGTTTTTGAGCAACCGAGAAACGAATTTAAGATATCTAGCATTAGAATCGATGTGTCACTTAGCAACATCCGAGTTTTCACACGAGGCTGTGAAGAAGCACCAGGAGGTCGTAATACTTTCTATGAAAATGGAAAAAGATGTTTCGGTGAGGCAGCAAGCTGTCGACTTATTGTACGCGATGTGTGACAAAAGTAATGCTGAAGAAATCGTACAGGAAATGTTAAATTATTTAGAGACTGCTGATTATTCTATTCGTGAAGAAATGGTCTTAAAAGTTGCTATTCTTGCTGAAAAATATGCGACGGACTATACATGGTGACTTTATTGTGAAATTTATATTTTAATTTATTTATTATTTTTTATTTTAGGTATGTCGATGTAATTTTGAATTTAATAAGAATAGCAGGCGATTATGTATCTGAAGAAGTGTGGTATCGTGTCATACAAATTGTTATAAACAGGGATGAAGTGCAAGGCTACGCAGCCAAAACTGTATTTGAGGTAATTTGAAAAAATTTCTTGAATTATTCCATGAATTGTTAATCGAATTTCAACAGGCACTTCAAGCTCCAGCATGTCACGAAAATATGGTCAAAGTTGGAGGTTACATATTGGGCGAATTTGGCAATTTGATAGCTGGTGATCAACGGTCATCACCTTCCGTACAATTTCAGCTTCTCCATTCGAAGTATCACCTTTGCTCCCCCATGACACGTGCTCTTCTTCTTTCGACATACATTAAATTTATCAATTTATTCCCTGAAATCAGGACACAAGTTCAGGAAGTATTCAAACAGCACAGCAATCTACGTTCTGCCGATGCGGAGTTACAGCAGAGAGCTTCGGAATATTTGCAGTTAAGTATCATTGCGAGTTCTGATGTTTTGGCAACTGTGTTGGAAGAAATGCCCGCCTTTCCGGAGAGAGAAAGTTCAATTCTTGCCGTTTTGAAGAAAAAGAAACCAGGACGTGTACCAGAAAATGATATTAAAGAAAATAAAAGTCCTACTCCTGTAACCAATCATAATAATGATGTCAACAGCGCTAGGTATGTAGTAGTACTTGATAAAGTAAGAGTGAGTTTTAATGAATATTTTCTGTAGTACGGGATCAACGGATCTCCTCGGCTTGTCCACTCCACCCACTTCTCAACCCAATTCAGGCAATACAGGTGTTTTACTAGATGTTCTAGGTGATATTTACAACAAGCCGGCAAATAATTTGAGTAGTACTCCTTCAAACAACACGTGGTTCGTTGATCCCAAAAAGTAAGTCATTTTCTGTTACACTTCAGTTTATACATTTCAATTTTTTTTTTCTTTTTAAGATTTATATGTAAAAATAACGGCGTCTTGTTTGAAAATGATCTGATTCAAATCGGAGTTAAAAGCGAGTTCCGTCAAAACCTCGGACGCCTTGGTTTATTTTACGGTAACAAGACGAGTGCTCCATTGCAAAACTTTGTTCCAACTTTGCTATGGTCAGACGAGCAAGCTGCTAAACTGAGCATACAGATGAAGCCAGTCGAACCGGTTCTTGAGGCTGGAGCACAAATCCAACAAATGATCAATGCGGAGTGCATAGACGATTACACAGGTATTTCATCCGCCTTAGTTTTAAGATGAAATTAGTTAATTGGAAAAATTTTTAGATGCTCCAAGTATAGTTGTTAGTTTTATTTGTAATAACATCCCCCAGAAGATAACAATTAAACTTCCGTTGACGATAAATAAGTTCTTTGAACCCACTGAGATGAATGGCGAATCATTTTTTGCTAGATGGAAAAATCTTGGAAAGTGAGATAATTTTTATTTCAGAATATCTCGGGGGAACTAAAACCTCTTAATTTGTTGTAGTACGAATCAACAAAGATCTCAGAAGATATTTAAAGCTTCTTCGCCAATGGACTTGCAAGCTGCCAGAACTAAAATAATGGGATTCGGAATGCAGCTTCTAGATGGTATCGACCCCAATCCAGATAATTTTGTTTGCGCTGGCATTATTCACATGCGTTCACAACAGGTTGGATGTCTTCTACGCTTAGAACCAAACAAAAATGCTCAGGTATGAAATTTTTCGTTCTAATTTTGAAATAACCAACATTATTTAATAAATTTATTTATTTTTTTTATTCTTCCAGATGTATAGACTAACAGTACGATCAAGTAAAGAGACTGTTTCTGTAGAAATTTGTGATCTCCTGGCTGAACAATTTTAATTATTTTAGAAGAGATTTGAATGAGAGGGTACATTCCACTTTAGTTGAATAAGTTAATCAAAATTTGTAAATGATTTGCGACAGTCTGCAATGTGCTCCTCTATAATTTCGTCTATTTTCAAAATGCTTTGTATAAATTAGATTGAGGCAGTCCCATCTAAAAAATAAGACAATATATATTAAGTGTGTGATGTTTAGCATTTGACTGTAAGATTGAACCAGTTTGTCGACTTTTTTCATAATTTAGTTACTGGTACATGAGTAACTTGCTTAGTTGCTCGTATATTTATCAAATAAACGTAATTATTTTGATTCTTTGAAATTATTCTGATTTTGAGGTGTTAATAACTTGGCTTGTCAAAAAAATACATTTTTTTGTTACGGTAAAGAGCTTAGTGTATAGAAGCAAAATATTCATGTACTAATTTATTTAATCTTTGCAATGAAGATCTGCTCTTATCGAATTATTATATTTATTCAAACATGTAGATTGAACAATACTGTTAGATTCAAATATAAAGGAAAGCAGGCATTAACACTGCAGTTGTATAAAATAGTGTTGTTGATGCCTGCAAAAGGCAGTGGCGTCTTTAATTTTGTTTTTACGAAGTTGGCTAGAAATCCACCAATTTTTGAAAACTTAAAGAACTAAGGCAGTTTCAAAAACACTTTTTTTTATAAATATAGTCTGTATTTTGATTTACCAGAGGAATTTATTTTATTGTTGTTTTTAACCATATTTTAATTATTATCTGATAGTATTAGATGTTATAATAAATAATCCATTATTTTGTATATGTTGATTGTATAAACAAGTAAAATATTATACGACATGTAACTGAAATATCTGTCTATATAAATTATTTGTATTCCAGTTTGTTAGATACGTTTGTAAGTTATTCCTATTTTTTTATGTTAGTTATATATGCATGGATTTCATGTAAAAAAATTATTGTACAATATAATAATTTAAAATTCATTTTTGTTTTATTTATTACATTTCGAAAATCGTGCATTGGTAGTTTGGCTAGGGAAAGCGCCGTGGCGGCTCGTGACGTTAGGAATAGCTGATGCATCTTTATTCATTGACTAAAAAAGAAAAAGAAAAAAGCGCTGCAAGCGAAAATTTTTAAAATTTCAAGGTCAAACGGATTTAAATGAATCTAGAAATTTTTAGTTGCAATTTACAATATTACCGAAAAACTGACGCTAGCGAGAAGGATTTGCACTTAGATTTATAAAAAATAGAAATATTAGTTCGGGTTGCGAACATTAACGCACACCATATATATATGTTTCAAAGAAGCTTCGTGGTTACGACGGCCTCGCATGGCGTTTCCAAAATTGTTAAATCCCACACGCCCGATTTTACACCCACAATTAAACACGGCATACAGAAAAGTTTTTTAAATAGACACATCCACACAACCACTTATACTACGAATACCATTAATTCCGAAACTTCCGAACTTACACTTTGTCTTTTTTCTTTTAATACATCGAGAGAAGACACAGGTCTCTCGTAATTTAAAAAATCCCTTTTGTCCTCAGTTTTCCATATGGAAAATGGCATTTCCAATAAAATACATACTGGATCACACAAAATTAAAAATAATTTTAAATTACACAACCAAACGGAAATTTTAGGTGAAGCGGTGCGTCACCTGGCGTGCCGCCACTGGGAAAGTGGCAAATAAAAGACACTTGAAATATACATTCATTTATTATAATTTTCACATCCCATTGGCTGAAATAATAAGGTTGTTTAGCCAATCAAAGCCTAAACTTTTCAAACACGAAATGCCAAAACGTCTATAAATCTAAAGAAGAACAGCCTTCTTGGATATTGTATAGTTAACATACACTGAACCCAAAAAAATTCAAAAATCGTCTCATTTTATAAACGTGAATAGTAATTTGTTGTCGACTGTCATTTATAAAAGAATTATTAAGTAGAATCAATTTTACACCAACTTTTTTGAGATTTAAGTTTTCAAACAGTACAGAGATGTTAACTAAAAAATTTAAACATACAACGGATGTTCTTTAAATTTTTTTGAGTCTCTGCACATGTCATGTCAACTACATAGATTACATTAAGACCATTTACATATTTTCAGTTTATATTCAATAAATAAAAATTCATTACATTAAAAAAAAAACATTTCATTACAATGAAATACAATATATAGTGATGTTAGTAATGAATGTCAGCTTCAAGACACTTGTAATCAGAATTTACAGGTAATTTACCATTTTTTTAAATTTTCAAGGTTTATTGAAAAAAAGCTGCTAAATTATATTTTAGTAGCACATAGCATACATCTAGACAAGTCTCCGAAGACAAAATTCTTATAAATCTAAAAATAATTACAGATCTACATCAGTACTCGATCAGTATACCATCATCTCGAAAAAATATTACACTGATCGCCTTCTAGGGGCAAAAACGGTGTTATACAGGGTGTAAATAAAAGTAATTTTATACAGTGGTTACTTGAATTTCGCAATAAATAAAAAAATAGGTTTATATTCAGTCACATTGTCCTGCAAGGAAACATATTACGGGTAATTTTTCAAAGATGATGGTGGAACCTGCGATGGTACCGAACTTAACCAAAAAATTTTTAATTTGTAAGTTCATTCAGTAAATTACCAATAAATTACAACCTAAAATACATAAAACCTTATTTTAAAGCAAGTAAAATTGTGGAAAAAATTAGTTTAATGTTTGTAAAAAAAAATATCACATGCCTACGTGTCTATGTTAACATATACAAAATTAAAATTGAACACAGTAAAGTTGATTTACTATCATTTTTGAAAACCGTTTCCAAAAATAATAAAAGAAGGACCAAAAATTGTCCCTTCCATTTCTTATTAGAGAAATTCGGAAACATTACTTCCTAGTTTTGGAAAAATAATAAGTTAACTAGAAGAAATTTACTATCAGTAAAAAATTACATTAATATAAAAACGAATTTTTACACGCATTTAAAACATATTTTTTACCACATACCATATAAAAACAATGAAATAAAAAAATAAATAAAAAATAAACACGTTACGTAAAAGTATACAATTATACAAATAATACTTCCAACTAAATTTGACCAAGTTCATTTCATATTAAGCAGAGCGATTTTTTCCTGTATACAGTTGTTGGATTGGGGAGCATCGGCCGTCTCACTGATGTCTGAATGCAAAATGAACCCATTCACGTTCGGACCTAAGCGCAACTGCTTGCTATCACTAACACTGTTTAACTTATCTACGGCGGGTCTCTTACAATTAACCTTATTTGCACTTTTTACTTTTAAAATATTCGGTCTGTGTGGTATATTCGTATGATTCAATAAAGATATAGCCCCGTATCCCTGTGTGCTGTTCACCGCCTCCCGCTTCGTATTCATAGCCATGAGGATATCATTTCTTTGGCATTCCACATGCTGGTTTGAAAGAAGAATGGCCCCGCCCACCTTTTTCGTGCCGTACGATGGGATCGCCACTGGCTTTGGGTGGGTCTTGTACAGCTTTAAGTTTGGTTGCTGGTTGTTTGGTTGACTCGGGATAGTCAGAAATACAGACTGATTCGCGGTTAGTGGGGGGCTCATGGCAGATTGAGGCGACTCAAGGCATATCATGTTCTTCCCTATCTGCACAAACTGAAAAACAACAAAAGTTACAACATCACACTAAAAATATAAGGTTTTTTATTATTAAACAGAATAAACAATACGATTAATTTTAATTATTAAAAAGTACTTACTTGAACTGGACTAACTACCGAAATTGGACTCATTGGCATATAAACTACAGGAACTGTTCCAATAGCGCTGTCTTGAGAATTATTGTGAATACTTGTAATATAACCTCCATCTAAAGTCTTGGTGGATTTATTTTCCATATCAGTCATATTTAACTGCTGAAATCAAATCATCAATGGAAACCCACCCAATAAAACTTCACACAAAATATCATATACGTGGTGATGAAGCTTATTAAATATTTAGTCTTGTTCCTGCTTCCAAACTTTTATAATTTATTATCACCCTGTATATGAGCTGATAAAATTTTTGCAGAATTTTCTTTACCTTAGCAGTAAGAATTGAGGTAGCTGTTGACCTACTAGTCGATGAAGTGCTGGTCTTAGGCATGATAGGTACGTAAGTAGTAGTAGGAGCCGAATCAATGGTGCTGACAATGGTCGCCACAATAGGTACGTAAGAAGTATTTTGGCAGAACATGTCTTTTTCTTCCGATCCATTTGGGGACATATAGGAGCCATGCTTCAGTTCTTTCTCTTTCGCAGCTTTACGCTCCGCAATCAGCTGATGGATGTCTTTACTGCGGCCAGGAACCAATTTTCGCAATTGAATCTGAAAAATTAACACTATGAAGACATGTTGCTCCCTAAAAGATTAACTAATCCACAAAATAAGACAAAAGTTTCCTTGACGTTCTTATGCTGCAAAAAAAAATTAAATCAATGAAAACATGCTTTTTTTGTATATCCCTAAAATAATATTTAACTCTTTCTTCGCATCAATAAAAGTATAAAAATTAAACAAACACATTACAATTCTTTCAACATCTGAAGCTTCTTTATATTAATTAAATCAGACGAATTATAGTTATGTTTCAAATGAAACATACTACATCACAATTGCAAAGAATTCCTTAATTCTTGGATTTTTTTATGTTAATTGTAAACCCTAAAAGTAGTATTAAAATTATTATATTCACCATATTACTAAATTTTTATGTTAACTTGTGGTTGCATGTGTATACAGGTACATACACTAAATGGTTAGTGTGACTAATATTATGCTTTACTCTATATGATTTGATAAGTTGGAATTGTTTATATTATTTAATGGATAAAGAGAATACAACATGCCTTTTTCATTCCAATGCCTCTTATTCGCATGCTGGAAATTTATATTTATTTGTTTACTTAATATGCATAATGGTATTTAAAATGATACCCACAGCATGTAATATTTAAGCGAAAAATTGGCTAACATGAAATTTTTTTAATTACACAAAACTAAAATTATGTTATTTAGTTTTGGATTAAACCCAAGAAATATTTAATTATGGACTTTGGCCTTGTCAATTTGATTAATGATTTTTGAAATCCGAACAATAGAATGTTGATAATTTAACTGATACTTGGAATTTTTTTGAAAAAAAAATGTTTTAGAGGGATATACATAAAATAAGAAAATTTGTAAAAAAAAAAGTTGCAATGCAAACACACTGAACATTATAAACAAGAAATAAGAATATAAAAATCAATTCTTATTACTGTTTGCAATACTCCGAGTCAAACTGTAAAAAAGCTTTACTGTTTTAATATATGTATTTATTAATAATGCTGAATATTAATTTCTATTACCTCCTCACACTATGGATCAACACAAACAAAAAATTTAGACATATTTAAACGACCCTGTATATATTTACAATTTAACTCATGTGATTAAAAATAAAAATATAGGGATATCAAGTACACAACATAGATAGATTTACATATATTTCTTCTATTACATCAATTATTAATCATTTCAAAAGTAGGTGCCTACAATTTTTTTTTTAATTGAAATAGTCTCTTAATAATTTTAATTTCAACTTTTTTAATTTTAAAAGATATGTAAATCTCAGATCCCTAGTTATGAAAATTATACAAACAGCAAATTATATTTTAGAAAATTATAATTACCTAATATGGTAATTAAATAATGATAGATATGATCATTTAAATAAGAGATAATATCTGATCCTCCTCCATTTGACTTGTCACTTGTCAGTGGACAAAATGGCGGGGTCATCCTCATAGCAATAATCTTCTTCATTTTAAAGACTACGATGTTTAAGTTAAGATTCTTCAAAGACGAATTACAATTTTTTTATATATATATATTTGTGTTCCACTTCCAAAAAATACTCCCCTTAATGTAATCGATTTAGTTACCAACTCTTTCCAAGGCTGGAGATATTTTTTACAATAATTTTATTAGATTTATGAACTAGTGTTTTCAATTCAATCGTTAACCACATAATGTTACTAATTAAAAAAGTATAACCACAAATCACAACAAAAAAATATATGACTTTTTTATAAACGTTTCTTTTTTCTACTTACCTTATAAAAATATAATCAGAAACAACAGAAATAAGAATTTAAATGAAGCAATTTTTAAGTTTTATATCAAAATTTTTCTGACATTAAAATAACAATAATATATAATCTGCATTTAAATTACTCCGATTTAAATAATACAAAGAATATATTTTCACAGCCTGACAATTCTTATTTTTAAGTTGACTCTGATGTAAAATATAATCCTTTTATTAAAAATTTTCACCATTTTTGAGAAAATTTTTAAAGTATTTTCATAGAATGAACTTATGTTCCATTTCTTTTATAATGTAATATTTCTAAATTTAAATAAAAATTAAATGCAAATTTCTGATATCTTGTTTTTTCAGATAATGTTGAAGTAGATAAAATACTTTTTAATGTGGCACAAACATTTTCCTTCTCTCTCATAATTCTTTGATGAATTATATTAAAGAAATATGTACAATCTTGGAAATTAGATTAGCCACATACAATTTGCAAATCAGAGAGAATCAAAAACACTAGTATCAGGAAAAACACATGTTTTGTTTTAATTTTTATAGTATACATAAGGATTCTTCCCATATAAATTACGAAGCCTTTTACTTCATCGAATTCTAATCAGTGACTTAGTCACTGAAATTGGAGGCAACAGGCACTGTAAATAGCAAATACAAAAAAATGATATCGTCTATTTTTACAAATATTAGTAATAAATCTTACCCTATGGTTGGAACAGGTGATTGACCTTGTACACGGCCCTCTATTGCCCTCGATAACTCCACAGTGAACATCGGGGTCGAATTCTTTAGTAACTTTGGTGTTATTATTGCTTTTTCTAGATTTTTTATATCTACTACTATTACTATTACTTGAACTAGAAGATGACACTGAACTGGAGGCTATCGTTTCAGTACTCGTGGCAGTTTTGGATGTTGATTTAGGCGAATGTGCTGTACCCGACACAGATTTTGAAGGGGATTTTGGGGAATGAACTGAATTGGACTTTGATGTGTGCGGAGAACTAGAAGATAAGCGTGTCTCTGATTTTGTAGATGTAGTTGTTACTGTGTGTGAAGAAGAAATGGAGGATACGGTAGAGATTTTTGGTATTTTTGTTGAAACTTTTGTTGATGATGACTTTGTCTCTGGAATAGGTGCTGAAGACACTGATGTTAACGGAGAAGGAGGTTTCTGAAAAAAAAACATAGAAAACTGCTTTATTACCTACCTTCTTCTTTTGAAGGTATAAATAATATTTATGCTGTCAAAAACATAATTTTTTAATCCTTACCTTGAAGAGAGGAGGTGGAGGTAAACTTGAATGTGACTTTTTGCTGCTACTACCTTTGCTTTTAACTTTCTTTTTCAAATTCTGAGGTGTAGATGACAAATGTGCTTTTCCAGAACATGTTTTGTGTGATAAAATATCTCTCGGGTTGAATACTAGCCTACATTCTTTACATTTACTATAAATTCTTTGTTCCATTTTTGGGATGGTTCCATAAAGAATAACATCTTGTCTGGGAAGAAGCTGAACGCTGGGGTCTGTCTTGTGGAACTCATTTCGAAATTCATCGTCTAAAAAATACACAAATTGTAAGATATTAAAATACAACCGGACATTATATTTCATACATTGTAAAAAGTGCAAAGCATTTGTAGTTTTAAGTGAAGTTAACGACACAAATTAAGAAACTGAGATGAGCAAAGAATTTACCTAGATCAAGGTCAATCATTTCTCTAATAATTTCCCATTTTGTTATGTCTTCAGAAAAACCATCAAAATAGTCTTCCATATTTTCACTTTACTAAAAAATAAATAAAACAAACCACATTTACACAAAACTGTCCACCCAGATTTGATAATTAGTAACTAACCTTAATTAATTTATTTAGGTATCACAAAATTATTAAAGCTTTAATACCATTAATGTATGGCTTAGAACAGGTAAATAAATTAATAACACTAGAAAACAACGTAATGGATATTTTTAAGATTGGACATCTCAAAAGGCATATGTTCCGTTAATTATTTTTATAGAAATTTTTTATGTAGTAATCCTTATGTGTTGTGCACTAATTTTCTTTAAATTATAATGATTCTTTATCCGCAACATCAAATATTTGTCTTCTAAAATACCACTCTCAAGACACTTCTATCCTATCACTTATCCTTTAGTTTACATCCCGAGAAACACGAACAAAATCGACAAAATGCAGAATCGAGACGATCTTCTTTTTTCTAACCTCTTTAACCATTTTCACTGCATTATATTACGGAACAGGTCTTAAAACCCTTCCCTAGGACCCCGATGAGGGGTTTTACAATAAAATATTAGCGAAATTACGAAAATTTTGTGTCTAATTTAGGTAAAGAGTTGGGCATTAAAAATCTATACCCATAGAACTCAAAATGTAAACAAGTAGGTATAAAAGTAATAAAACTCGGCCAGGTACAAGATTTTCTACTTCTAACAAGTCAATAATTTAGTGTGATACGAAGAGCAACGAGTCGATTATAAAGAAATATTCAAAACAGAAACAGATAATAAAATTTAATAATACTGATAACTGTCATATTTAATTTACGGAAATGGATTGCATTAATACACTACATCAAGTTTTGGAATAAATTGTAATGATTTGGTGAACAGAAAACAAAATATATAACATCGACGAATTTTCCCTAAAAAATTATCGTCATTATTATCTTTATACAAGCTCTGGAAGATGTCACACACAAAAATAAATAATCAAATCAAATTCATGAAATTAGTCGGTCAGATGATCTCATCTATATAGAAATCTGTAAAAAATGTATTAAACTTCATTTGTTACTTTATATTTATTGCGACAGATAGCGCTCTCCTGTATCCGTACACTGGCGCCCCCTGACGGAGTGAAAAAATATTTATATATTTAAATTACAAATAGATTTAGAACTTGATTTTTCTTTAATAAAATAAATCTATTTTATTTTCTGTATAACATCGTATCGACTATGAATTTGTTAATCATAGTTTGTGTATATTTTTTTTTATTGTATTTAGGACAAATGCACAAACTAATTATATATATAGCTTAATTGTATGAAACATAAGAATCATTTTAAATAATAACAGTAATATTATCTTAGAGGAAGTGTTTATGACTCAGAATATTACTCATTAGATGAACCCAGAAGGTTAATGGATTCAAATTTAAGTACAAATACAACAATTAAAAACCATTGTTGCGTGAAAGTCAAAAACCATAACCATTTAACCATATACCGAAGTACTTAATACGATTTTTTGTTGATTGTTTACATATTTCTTATTCATTTTTTACACTACCAAAACCAAATTTGATGAAAGTTCAAATAAACTACGAGAATTTTTTAGATTTTTTTTGGCTCAAAATTCTACATAAAAATTTCCAATACACATTCATACAAAACGAAAAAATGCCTAAAACGGTGGTAATGTCAGTTTTTCTCCAAGTTTCACATTGGTATGAAATATTGTCACAGTTTTACAATTTGTTTTTTTAAATAAACAATACTAGTTTCTTAAATTTGTTTTATTAAAAATGTAGTTATATTATACAATCAAATAGTTACAACTTAAATACCGATATTGTACTCCAAATCATGGCACAGATGATGTCTATCGTGAGATCTGCCGCTTTTCAAATCACAGAGTATTTGCAGTTTACACTGGCCATCGCAGTCGGGCCTTCTAGGGCTATTTCTGTAATAATTTCTGTGGAAATAAAACACATAAATTGACTAGTTTTTAAGCATTTTGGTGCTAATATTGTAACTAAATAGAATAAGAATTTACACTGCCGCGTCAAAAAAGAATAAAAGAATTGTAAAAAGCTGGCTGTCATACCTATAAAAGGCATCAAACAAATTAGTATCATCCACCATTCGTTCAATGAGCCTATTCCACTGTATAGGTTTGAGTGAGTGCAATCTGTATGCATCCTTAGCAGAGTAAAGTTTGAACCAACTTGGTTCATTTTCTCCTTCATTTGCTTTACCTAAGTCCATAGTCCACGTTTCATGGTCTAGAACTTCCTAAAAAAGAATGAAAATAGGAAATACTTCATGAAACATCAATATTATTATTATTTTTTGTGAGGTTACCGTTATTATAGGTATAGTTCGTTTCTACATACTGCGGCCTGATATTTCAATTTCTAATTCAATTGGCATGAAAATTATAATTGAAAATAAAATGTTAATGTAAACTCTTCTTACCCTAGTAGACTTCTCATGGTCACCTTCTATATAGTAGATTCTATAAGCAGGATTAAAATTCTCATAGGTAGTGACAGATGGACCAAGATAAGCCACACTGATGGGTCTACCTGTAAATTTCAAAAGTTTTTTATTTTTGTATTTCCACGCCTTTAATCGCAGTCGTCTGGCTCGTTTCTTACTGTATTCTGTCGTTTCGTAGAAAATTTCGAACTCATCTGCGTGAGAATGGCCGTAAAACTGAGCTGTGATGGTGCTCTCAAAACGCTCTACTATGGAGTAGAAATTATGAGACCAGGTCTTCATACAGTCAGAACTTCCTGGGGGAATGTGACCTAGAATATTTTTTTAAAAATTAATATAATTTGCGAACAAATGCGGCCGACGCATTTACAAATTTATTATAAGTTAATAAGTAGACCGTAGGTGTTCAGTTTGACTCACCAATTAAATGAACTTTTTCACCATTTTTCTCGGCTTCTTGCAACTCATATATCAGCCACTTTAACTCCTGTGCTGGGTCTGTACTATTTACTAGCAGCCACCTACAATACCCAAGTCGTTAAAATTCTCATAATAATAAGCAAATACAAGTTTGAATAGTTAATATTACATTTGCTTACCAGCTGAATGTGTGACAGTAATTTGTGTTTAAAGATATTAGTCTAAAACCAGGTCTTAACAAAACAGAATAAAATCCGCCATGTAAAATTGTATTTCCTGACGTGGTTGGCAACCACCGTCTCCACTGATCAGCTAAAATATTATAAAGCCACCTGACAGAATGTTGCTCGTCCTTCATCCATGGTGGTGCAAAACTGAAATAAAATTAATAGTATAGGTCGCGTATTACGCAAAAATGGAAAATATACTTTCCCGCTGGTACAGATTCGTGGTTTCCAAGAGCAGGGAAAATTGGAGTTTCGGGAAATATCTCAAACATTTGATCGACGCTTTCCTTGATTATGTCGATGTTGCTCTGTTTCGATTGCTTCCAAATATCATGAGGTGGCAAGTCTCCAGTCCAAATAATATAATCAATATCCTACAAAAAAAGTGGTAAAATGTAAATATTAATTTCCTCATTTACAACGTACAGGGTGTTCTGTCGCTATGCTTTTCAACATATTCTCTATTAAGATCTTTGGTGAATCACATTTCTCATAGGCGCCCCATCTAAAATAATAAGACATTTTTAAATAAAAAAATATATTTATTATAAAATTATACCTACCTTCCTGCTGCAACAGTAGAATTATTTATAGAAGGAGTACTAAAATTCCTGCAGCAAAGAGGCTCCTCGCAATTAGCAGGACTTCCTGCTGCGTACTCAGGATCAAAATGAGTATCAGAGAGATGTAGGACTTTAAAAACTGGTAAATTGGCCTAAAATGTTTTTTATTTATATAAAAATATTCTACTTTATTTCTGTCAGTTTCTCTTAGTTTTAATCTGCTTTTGTCTTAAAACGTGTTTAGCTCACCTTTGATTCTTCTTGTTCCACAAGCTTAGGTTTTGAAATTTCTGGAAAATCGACTCGCCAATTATGTAAGGCAATTTCTACTTCCCCACAGGTTTCGCCAAAAATTAGACTGCATGCTTCCTTTGCTCCTAGTATTTAAATATAAAGTCAAATGCAGAAGGATTTACTAACTGTTTCTTACCCAGGTGAGACGTGTTGAAGGCTGGTACAACCTCAGGACCAAAAACATCAAAAAACCCAGTGCAAACTAACTCCGTTTCAATCTTAAATGAAACACAAAGCGCAACGAATTTTGATTTGATAGTTTCAAAAGTGGCGCCGGCAAGAACGTCATTTAAAAGCAAACTCACACCTAAATAGGATAAGTTGTTATATATTTTAAAGTTATTCTATACGTCAATTTCTATAAAAGGCATAAGTACCCAATAGAATAAACAGTTTGTAGGATTATTTCTTGACTACTCCCCGTATATTACTCACCTAGAGTGCATACATTACAAGAAACTTTTGATTTGACTACATCACCAATTTTTTTTGGTATTCTTAAGCTTTTGGTGGTATTTTTCGTTTCTAAATCATCTATATTTAGATCCTGAAAAAATATTATACCATCAAGTAGATTTAAAAAATTCGCCGCTATTAAAAAAACAGGGATTTCCCATACTTATTGAAAATATTCCTAACAAAATGACCGCATTGGTATTTTATGATGAACTATAAGGTCTCTTGCAAGTTTCAAGGTTGTATTTTGTATGTTTTACCTGTTAGAATCGAAGTGCTATGTTAACATGCACTTCGCCTTTTATGAGCAATTAAAAATCAGAATTATAATTGTGCACTTTTTCCGTAGTTATTTAATTGATAGCTACCTCTTCATATGTGTATATCGTTGGTAATTGATGAGTTTTCCCTGAATTTGTAAGTAATGGCACAGAATTTGGTTGAACCTCGTATTTCCAATCGTCTTCAAAATTAAATGCTTGGACGTTTTCAGTTGGGGCGCTGTCTAAAAACACAAGTGCCTCGAGATCAATATGTTTTTAAATAAAATTATTAGTTACCAATTATATTTATTAACATTAATATTAAAAGAAATAAAATAAACACCACTTACCTATGTACTTTAAATGGATCAAAGTCAGCAGGAATAAGGGCAAACACATTAGAAACACCTAAAATGGTTACTTTCGTAATTTTATCTGTTGTATCATTTTAACGTTGCACTTACCATCTTCATCAGAGGGTCAACATGAATTAAAAATTACAAAACACTCGTTTTCTGCAGTTCAACTTCCAAGGCTGTCAGGTATATATTAAACCACACATGAGCGAGTCTATGTATATATTTAAATGAAATTTGCCATAAAACAATAAAATAAACAATTATTTAATTTTTCAAGTTGACTCTTGCAGTTATTTTCTAATAACAAAAATACCTTACCTTTTAATGTTCAGCAAAAAATGTCAACTGTAAAATAAATATATTCATTTTTAATTACATCTTTGTCACATTTATTTTGAGAGCTAGATCGGATTCCTTTGAAATTTCCGAAGACAATATAAAATTATTTTTAAAAAGAGCTAACAACATTTTGTCTTTCGAAAAAGAAAGCAGAGAAAAATTCAAAATATTTTAAATAATCATAATTTATTTAATTATGACAATAACGCTGTAGGATATTGTTTTGGAAATTATATCAATTGTTTTCATTATCAATACTTTGTCCTTGTTTGAGTGAGTTTACTTTTTTTTATTCAAAATAAATATGTTTATCGCAATACTCGCATATAATTTTTTATTTTAATCATAAAATAATTATTAATTTTTAAGAGATATGTCATAGTCCATTCTATTATAAAAAATATTTTACTGCATCGTCACATTTAAAAAATTACTTCTAATACAGTTATTAACAATAATTTGTTGCTTATAGTTTGATTCTTACTTAGAAAAGACATATTTAAATTTTTTAAGTACCTACCTATATAATTTGATAACCGCGCCGTTTTAAATATCGTGTTCTCTTCAAAAATGTGTAAAAAAAGCAATAAGTAACATTTCCAAAGCTGTGTTTCTTATTGGCACCATAATTACTTATTTTATTATTAAGTAATCTTATAACATATCTGTATAACAGGGAGCACCGCCTTACTAAAATTTTAACACCGAACCTTACTATACTAGAATAGTATAATAAATAATGAAGTAATATAAGAACAAAAGGCAACTTGTAACAATAAATAAGTTTTAGCGTAATAAGATTCTATTGTTTGAAATAAATTGTTTTTAGTTTTTAAAACAAACTGTACCCATTGTAAATAAGAGAGGCAATCGATTGTGTATTATTATACAACAATGATAAATAGAATTAAATTATGCACAATGGATTTCCTATTTAAATTCAGTATAATTATTTTGGAATAGCTAATGTATATTAACAAACTGCGGTGTTAAAAATAACTTAAATATATTAAATCGAATATAAAATATTTTTAGACAATTTATTTATAGAAATATGCGTGATAACTATGTAAACATCATTTTATATCATCATTTTTTTTTGTATTACATTAGTTTTTTTAAAAAAACCGATACTATATATATTTACATCGTCATGCGAATACGTTTTAAAAATTTTTATTTATGCTAAAAACAAATAATGTTAAAAATATGTTTTTAAATATTTCCATTATAACGTAAATATATTTATTAATGTTTACCTTTTACAGAGATAGGTAAGTAATTCATTTAAATGAATTACCAGTGAAGCGCCAATAATAGTTAGGGTGAATGTTACTGAATGCCTTAAACATTGTGATGTGCTTAAATACAATACTAAAATACTTATTATGTAATTGTATATCCTCTTCGATGGTTTTAGAGGCACCAATACGTATTTGTCGGATATTTATTAAATTAGAAGGTTTGGTAGGTATGACGTCAACAGAACACAAGGTTTCCACTTTTTATTAAAATAGCTCGCCAAAATTCGCTTATAAACAAACGTCAGACTGTCAAATGTCAAATATAAATCTAACCTATAACTTATCCTAACTCAAGAAGTTACTTCTTGTTGGCACCTTGTTTTTCAGCTAGTAGTGTTATTATGTCGTCTATTAGTGAAATAGACACCCATTTCGTGAAATGTATTGGTTACCTTTATGCAAGTTCGAAGTTAAGAAAGGGGGACCCTGTTCCTCTACAATACGTTTTAGAGGAAGTTATAAAGAACAAGTATGGTATCGTTAAAGATTATACAGACTTAGTGCAGTCATGTTTGAAACCAAGAGAAGAGGAATTTGCCCCTGTAATAACTGCCACTTTCGAAGAAAGCAAGGGATCGAATTCAGATAACGAATTAGAGTTAGATCTATTGAAAGAAGATTTAATGTGTGTTATTTGCAAGTAAGTAAGTTGTACAGAAGTTGAACAAAGAATTTAAATAGAAATTTTTAGTGGCATGGACGTAGGTGCTAGAAATCGACTTTTGGAGTGTTCCGATTGTCATTCATTATATCATCAAGAGTGTCATAAGCCAGGTGTTACAGAAGATTCTTTTGAGAACTGGGTTTGCTTCAACTGTAAGGTAAATAGTTTTGTGTATCTAATTTTTCCTAAAAAGTAGCCATGATAATTTTTATTTGGTTATATATACATTTTTTAGGAGGCTAGCAAGAAATTAAAACTAGCAAATGACACAACTGCTCCCGTTCCTGTAAGTTCTAATAGCAATAGCAGTACCAAGAGCTCTTCAAAATCTAGTTCAGTTTCTTCATCACATAGACATTCCAGTTCAAGCAGTTCATCATATAAATCTTCTAGTTATTCTAAATCTAGTGATAAATGTAAGCATTAAACGTCTATTTTTTAAACATTTTGTCTTTCAAGCGTGGTAATTTTACTCAAATTTTTAATTTATATTTTTTTAGATAAATCAAGTTCTACTAATAAGTCGACATCAGGGCAAAGTAGTTCAAGTTCGAAAATTAGTGGTTCTACTTCCTCAAGTAACCAAAACAATTCAAGCAATTCTAGTCGTTCAGCATTACCTCCCAATATTAACATAATAAGTGCAGATAAGAGGATTCAAATTATGAAGAAAAAGGCAGCTACTAAATTACAAGAAAAACGAAAACCACCTCGTTAAAAATAATTTATCAAATAGCTGTTTCATTTTTATATAATTATGTGAATATTGTTAAATTTCACAACTTTAAGGAACTTTTTATTTTTCTATGAAATATATCAAGATTGTACAAATTTATGGAATGTAAATAAATTTACCTGCTTTATTTATTATATTATACACAATAAAATTTTGAAATTTACGGTGTTTGTATTATTCGTTTTCTTCAAAAAAATTAATAATTAATATTCATTAATCAAGATAAGGTCTTATTTACACAATTATATGTATATTTTATATTGATAATTTAGTTATTGATAATTTACTCAAAACCCTTTACAGTCGCATATATTTACCTGCATTTATTACATTAGGAAGACGTTTTACTCTACAAGGCAATATAATTTAAAAATGAAGTGTTGTAAAATAAAGATACAGAAAACAGACTTGTTTTTTCTATAAACACAGGATATTAGGAGAGGTAAATAAAAGTCTACTGTTATAATTGACAGGATATCTTTCAGAAATGAAGAATACTGCTTGGAATGTAAAAAAAAGTGATGTAAGATAAAAATATATAATGAATAAGATTAACTAACCGTAACCTTAACTATGAGACTAAATTGTTGTAATATTATGATTATATAAATATTGATGTGTATTTTTAAAGAAATAGTTTCAAATAGAAATAATTTGCCTGTCTAATATACAAAAGTATCACATCATAAAATACTAGACACCTTTAATGCAGTTATTTTTTCTAAAAAAAATTGTGTAATTTTGACACTCAGTCTGCATTGAAGGAACTTTACAAATAGGTATGCAAGATAAGAAAATACATAAATATATATTTTTGGGCATTGTGTACAAATACATACAAAAAAGGTGTTGAATAAATCTCTTAAATTAATAATAAATTAAAAATCGGGTAATTAATTATACACTTATAGCAAATATATGCATATCAATTAAGGTGGTGTTATTTGTTGCAGTGTGAAGTATATGAAAGAAAATGTATTATTACCATCTCAGCAAAAGAGAAAAGTAAACTTTTTCAGTTACGAAAATTTTTTCATCCACACCGACATAAAATTAGTTATTGTGCTTCTTTAAAACCTTTCACGACCAGTTCACTTACTACGATTTCCAATTTTCCCAACTGGTAAGGTTTTTCTTTCAAAAATTTGTAGCCAAAATAGACAAATACTACAAATCTTATTTCTATAATTTTCTCCAACAGTTATAATTTTGCCATGGAAAATGTAGTTTTAAAGTAGAATTTTTTACATTTTCAACATCAATTATGTTTCTGATTAATTGTACTACTTTGAAATCTGTAAAAAGCACAATAACAATATCTGCACTTATGCCGTGTGTTTACGAGGGAAAACCACATTAGGATGTTCAGAATATCGGATTTCTTCATTGCATACATTGTTAGTATAATTATTCCATACGCTGCCTAAATTTCAAAATAAAATTCCAATGTTCCGATTTTACGAGAATAAAACCGAACGCCCATCAGATCACCGCTCAGGCGCCTTGCAAGTAGCGTGGAACGCTTGTTCAGGTAGTCACTTGTTAAGCAAGAAAATAACAGATGCAAGCTCAGAATGATGCCTATGAGGAAGAAAAGGACTTTTATATTTTCCTGGAATCTCTGATTGATCAGCGAGCACTCTATATTATTGATAACAAATTTCCAGTTTTTCTTGAGACAACAATTTTTTGATTCACGGGAACTGTAGCTCAAAAAAGTTACAAACCGATCGTTATGAAAATTGAAAGCGTGTTTCTTTATGAAATTACAAAGAACACGAACCAATAATTGGAATGATATAATTTTAAAGGTGATTTTTTCAAAATAAGCGAAAAAAAATGGTGAAATTCGATACATTCTTTAAACAGGTGTCAAAACTTCAATTTTTGCAATTTTTATCCACAATGAGGTTCATATTCTTAGAAAACATGTTAAAAATGCAGGAAAACAATCATTTTGCTTTCATATCAAAATTGCGATTTCTACATTTCCCGTGAACGAAATCGGACGACATTCGGTGGACAACGGCCCGTAATTTCGGCATTTTCAACACAAATGAATTTGGAAGTGTAGTTCAAAATATTGATAAAATAGTATCAAAGTTTGATCAAATGCTAATCAATTTGTCTCACTCAAACTAATTTATGAAAAACGCCTAAAAATCAGCTTACTAATGTGGTTCCCCTTAATAGAATTTAATGCAATTGGAAAATAATTCTTAAGAGGTAGAAAAGAAACAAATTTTGGTATGTGACATGAAAAAATATTAGTTGTTACTGAAAACATTCTAACATTATTATATAATTTTTTTTAAATATAACTATATACAACAACGTGTTAAGGTTTTTACTATGTAAAAAACTGTACAATATTCTACCTATACATATTTACAATTTTTATATATACCAATCACACTGGACTCCTAATTAAAAAAATAAACATTCAAAGCGAAATCAAAATTTCTATTCTAACTTGAGATCCGAATGATGGGAAATTAAAAACTCTAAAAACACCATTAAGTAACGAAATCGATGTTATAAGAATTTTATCTTTAAGTCACATATACCGATCAGATATACTACGTTATGGCAGATGCTTTTTGCTACCAATTAAAACTAGCCATTAAAATCAGTATTTGTACTTTTATTACTATATAGTTGGTGTTCCTATTACGTCCAGTTCCAAAATTACAGCCTAGTGAAGTAAAAAGTAGACTTACGATAAACAAAGGCTCTCTTGCAACATGTGACACAGATTGATTGGACAGTTGGCTCGGCTGGTTAACAGAATTATAGCAAGTTGTAAACATTAAGGAGATATTAAAAAAACTGTCTCTTAAAACGTCAAGAAGCCTAACCGACAACGTGGCAACCAACCCATGAAAATATTCAGCAAATTTAAATGTCTGAATTACTATTTACTCGAGGTCAATTTTAAATTTGAAGATAGTGTAATTTTTTCACTAATTGCATTTTATACAGATATTACAATAAATTCCCCAAGTTTCAGTTGCTCGGAAATGTATTACACATACCTATAATAAAATTTTTACCACCCCTCATGAAAAAAATCTTATATTTACCATTAAGATTTTTGGTTTATTCACATTATCACACCATTTTTTATTAAGAAAAATTATATATTAGTTGCCTTCATTAAAAAATTTGGAATATTTATGTACGCATATTCCTCTATAAAAAAAATAATTACAAATATTAAATACAAATTATTATAAATAAAAATAGCTAATGCTTAGTTTTATATTTCGGACCAGAAAAAATTGCACAAGAAAATTTTAAACCTTCTGGTTTGCAAATAGCATCTGAACCGATGGCAAATTGGCATAAATAAACAATTCTACATAAATAAGCGATTAATGTCAAAGTATTAAAATTCTCATAAAATATTATTTGACAATAAAAAACTATTTACATACAAAAACTCTATAGATTCTTTAAAACTATAATACAAGTTAATAAATATATATGTTAATATTAATTTAGAAAGAGATTCTAAATCAAAAATAATTTTATATTCGTAGCGCACCATTGAAAAACTAACTAAACCCTCAAAATTACATTATTATTATGTAACCGATATTATTCAGCTAGTCCTTCAAGAACACATGTATTATGTGTCTTATTTAAGATCATACAGATTCTCTTCATACGATAAAATCTTACAATTAACTAAAAACCAAAACAATATATTAAAAACATGTAAATGTTTCCAACTGAATATCAAGACATCAAACCTTTTATTAGATAAGAAATCTGTGGTCGAATTTCTTTCTTTTGAAGAGAACACTGTGACGTATAGATCTTAGACAAGCTGCATCGCACAGTATAAGTCTAGAGAAATATATGCTGTAAGTTTATTTACAATGACATGAACACTGCATTAGTCACCACGATAGAACAGTTCGACGAAGGAGTAAAACACCTCGGAGGCACTTCAAAGATCTCTACTCCTTTGCCGAGCTGTAGCTTAATATTAAATGTGCGGATCACATTTATTCATATCTTTTAAGATGTCTCCTAGTATATCAGTAGATTTGGGCTTTTGTATTTTTACCTTGTGAGGTCGATCTTTGTGCTTCTTTCCTGGCGTAGCCGGTGTTGAATCGGTGGAAGTTTTCGTAGGAGAACTGCTGAAAGAGTCACTAGTAACACTTTTAACAGGCGATTCTTCATTTAACGATGAAAGAGGCGTTGCTTCAAGCGGGGACTGACTTGTAGGTAAGGGATTTGTAGAGGTTGTCGAGTCACTAAGGGAAGTTTTAATTGACGTACTACTACCACTATTGGAGAAGTTTGTGTTCGATTTCGATTCAGTTTTTTCTTTCGCCGATGAAGATTGGTGTTTTTTATCACTGCTGTGTTTGTGCTTGTCACTACTTTTACGATCGTGGTGTGATGAGTCTTTCTTATCTCTGTGTCTGTGTGAATTGTGGTGATGTCTGTCTCTGTCACGATGCTTGTCTTTACTTCTGTGCTCATGGCGATCTTTGTCACTTTTTGATTTATCTCTATGTTTGTCTTTGTGATGTTTATCCTTGTATTTAGATTTTTCTTTATCCTTATCTCTTTGTTTGTACTTATCCTTGTCATCGTGACTTCTTATTTTTTCAGAGGAAGAGGAAGAGTTTAACTTGTCAAAATCTATTTTATATTTCACTTTCTCAACTGCTTTTGAATCATGATTGGAGGATTTCAAAGGCGTCTTATGTGATTTATGTACAACAGACTTATGTGGCTCGTCAGTACACTTTTCTTTGTCTTCGCTCTCCTCGAAATTGTAGTACTGACGTAAACGAACGTGCCAAGCTATAAATAAATGTATTTAAAAAAGCAGTTTGGGAAAATTGACTATAAACTTACCGATGCTAGTAACAGCTGTTACAGTTCGAAACTGGTGTATGATATTCCTTGGAAGAAAGTATATATCGTTATCATACAAATTTACTCTGGCGTATTCAATGCCTTCTCTTCTCAATTGATTCAACTTGGCATCCTCAATCCACGTGACACACTACAAAGAATATTTTATCAATTTTATTATAACCTCGTTAAAATTATTGTTAAAATAAGAATTTAATTTTTATTATATTGAAAACACTATCCTCAAACTTCAAACCGTTTCGTGTTTGAAATATAAAAAAAAAATTGAAAGAATCACTGAGGTCAAAACTTAAACACAAAGGTAGTTGATGCGACGTCATCGTCGTGGGTAAAAACTATCGAGTCATATTTTTTTTAAGTCACTCCTTTGTCATTCATATTAAGAAAATATGATCACTTACTTGAGAAATTGGAGGTTCATGGAGATCAAGTTGTAATTTTTCCGCTAATACATCAAAATATTTTGCTGAAAAAGCGACGACGTCCTTTGTTATCCTATTAATTGACCCCTCGTTTTTCCCTCCATGTATTGCTTTCAAAATTCCCACAGCTGCTGTAGTCTTACGATCAAGTCCCGCACCGACATGATCTGCGTGGGCTTTAGTCCTATCTTCAAACAGGTGCTCCCTTGCTTCGGACATCCTAGGCAGATACTGCAGATTCCGCAATTCATTTATCCCAGTTCTAAAAACAAGGTGATTAAACGACTGAATCGAATTTTCATAATGCGGACATTACCGTTTCCTTTTATTTGGTGTTTTCGAATCTGCTGTTGGAACTAGTTGTTCCCCAGGCCTACACCAAATAATCGGGCCATCGTTACTCTCCGTCGGTTTCATTTGATCACATATCGACAATGGACCCCAAGGCATAGTCTATAAAACATAAAATTATAATGTAATAAAAATTAGTAATAGGAAAACGTACCAGTTCTAAAAACTGATTTTCTTCCAACAGAGACAGTAAATCTGGAAAATATCCACCAACTTCCTCGTGGGCAGTTCCTACAATACTAATTTGATGTAAAGGTCCGTAACGTACGGTGCCAGCTTCGTAATGTTTACAGACATGTTCGTTATAGTTCGCTAGTGTTGTCGTTTCGATATCAGAGCTTTTACTAAGTAGGCCATTTTTAACCGTTAATGTTGGGTAATTTTCTGCCATATACTTCAAAATATCTGGAAGATATGTTGCCGAACCATGCACAACTGCTAGTACAAATATAGCACGACCATCTTTATCTTCCTCGAAGGCTAATTTAAAAAACTCTAGAGCAAGTTCTTTAGTTTCGTTTGAACTTAAATGTTTTATTTCATCATGGTACATTCTTAGAATCTTTGCGCCACCATTTGTATGAGTTTCAATGTGATAAAAACGACGATACTTCAATGATTTCTAAAAAATATAAACTAGCTTAGGTTCTATTTACAGAATTCTATGATTTATCTAAGATTAATTCTTGTATCGTCAAAAGTAGAATACACACATCAAACCGAATTTAAGTTAAAATAAAAATTAAAATATATAATTCTTATAATATTACTTACGTCATCTGGTGGGTAACTGTAATTGCCATTCGTTAAAATCCTTGGTTTGCAGTCTCCTCTGTAGCTAGAATGTCTATCCTTGTTGGAAGTTGAATGGCCGTTTCTTTTCCACGAATTTCTACTTTTAGAATCGTGCTTACTTTTACTAAAACTATGCTTCTGATCCTCCTTATGCTTAGATAATTTACTAGACGAACTAGACTTCCTTTCTTTTTTATATTGTTTAAAATCGATCTTTCTTAATTTAATGTCTGCGTGATCACCATCTGCAGAATGAGCTCTTTTAAACCCTCTACTAGGCTTAGCGGCAACATCAACAGATCGGGTTCTGCCTTTCCTTGGCGAGCATGGTGCCTCTTTAGAACTTAAATGTCCCGATTCACCCGAGGTAGACGTATGCCTCTCCAAGTTTTTTAAATTGACATTTGATTGTTCTTCTATAGCTGTCAAAAGATCGATGCCTTTCTTACCTTTCAGAAGGTCATAATCTAATTGTTCCACTAAATGGGAACAAGTTTTCTTCTTTGGTTTCTTATTACTAATGTGATCCGTGTTAGATAGTTCATCGACTGTAGATGCAATTTTTATATTATTGTTATTCATGTTTGAATTTTGAAGGCCACTGTCTGGTGACAATTCTCGATTTTCAGAATCACTAGGACTATCAATTGGACTTTTCACAGCACCAATATTGCAAGTTGAATCACAGCCTGTTTTAGAACGAGACATTGAAGTAGAAATATAATCATTAGGGGATTGTTGGGGGTTCACGTTTTCAGGATTACTAGCAGAAAATAAATTATTAGAATACATTTGTGTTTTTGAAAATACGTCAGTCTCTTTTATGTTACACCTGTCATTAGCATAATTTTCTTTATTATCCGTTGTATTTAATATATCTTCTGATTTAATGTCACAATTATCACTTTTATTATCCTCACTAAAATTTTTAACTGTGACATCACTTTTGACCACATCATAGAAATTCTCACTGTTTTGATTTGATTTGAAACACAATTTATCTTCATAGAAATTTACTTCTTTCACACTATCATCGCTTTGAACCGAATCAACAATATTAGTATGATTCGTTTCCGATTCATTTGAATTATGGTTTACCATACAATTTTTGGAATGATAAACCTCCGATGTTTTTTGAAGACCATGTAAAAATTTATTATTTGCATTATATACTCCATTTAATTCGCTTACAACAGGTTTTTCTTCAAAATTAGGACTCCTTTGGCCATTTCGTAATGAGTCTAAGTTGCCTTCTGTCAAGTTTCCTAAAATACAACACAGTTTTAAATAAAATGGGTACTACTGCTATTCTTCTAATTAATCACGACTAAAAATTAAATTTTACAATTGTTTACAAATAATACTTACTAGTTGTGTCATTTGAAATTGCTTCATGAAAGGAATTCTTGGCTTCACTGCAAGTGCACCTGGAACATGTTGAAAAACAAACAGGGCATGTAGTGCAATTTGGAAAGGATTCATACAGAGCTTCATTCCTAAAAAAAACTTTATTTTCGTCGTCTGTACTTCCATCATCGTTCGACGCCATAATTTAAGGTATTCAAAAGCCCGGGCCTGTTGTTTACTTGGAATATTACACGGCACAGGCAACGGAAGTCACAACATTTATATGGTTAATAATTAAAATGCATCGTTACTTAGGTGGTCGGAAAAAAAAATTACCGAAGGTTACTTCAAAACACTTACACAAAAAATCGTAAAACTACACAATCTCCACGCTTACCGCCATGCTTGAACCGGGCATAGACTCGTATTCAGATAAGCATTGGCGTGCGAATTACTATAATAACAAACCATAATTTATATCATCATTTCACAAATCTTAAGTGTTGTGCCTGGCTGCATAATATTTTTAGAACTACGTCATTATTAAGACAAATTTAAAACTTCAAAGTATTGCTAAAAAACGTTTAACCTATTTTACGTACACGCTGCCACTGGTTTTTATTGTCAACTTTTTGACGGATCTTTACTTATAGCCAATGCAAGAACCAAATTGTATCAAAATTATTTCAATTAATTATAATATCGTCAAACTCGCGGTGACAATCTGTCATACATTAGTAAATATTTTTAGTTTTTCTTTTGAATCCGTGCGAGATGTCACGTACACACGGGGGCGGGAAATTTGAATCATTTAAATTTGAAACTTCGACAAAACTGATACAGATAAGCCGATAAGTACAGAAAATGTTTTTTATTTCCTTAAGCCAGTAATCTATCATATCTTATTTGAACTTGCGTTATTATTGTATCATTTACTTTTATCTAAAATTATACACCTTATATCCGACAGTTGGATGAAAAATAAACGAATTCAAAATGTTCTGTATCACATCGGCAAATAATTGAAATAATTGTGAAATATTAATTACTTACCAGTATAATTGATTATATTTCCAATTCATAATAAACATTACCTTACATACTTTAAGTATATCAGCTACAGATGAAGTTCGATCTGCATCATTTCAAAATTTGTGTGATTTGCAACTTACAGAATTAAAGCGTAAGGTTGAATTAAAAAAAAAACGAGTTATTTAAATTTAAATAAAACACAGTTTTATTAGCAGTTGTATTATATAAATCCATTCATTGTAATTTTTTTCTATATAATACAATAAATTATGTGCAATTTATTTATATTCAACGTTTAGTACCGATATTCACAAGGTAGTACATCGGCATATGACAAATATTTTTTGAAACTTATCTAAACCACTTCCGACAATCCTTGGCTTCAAATTGACATAAAAATAACCATTCTGAAATGTAAATGGAATAGTTATAAATATGTAAAATAAGTAAATACCAGTTAATTTCAAAATTATAATTTATCCAATGCGTTACTTTTTAGTATCCCTTTAGGTAAAGATTGGTTCAAAATTGAACTGTAATTACACTCAAAACAAACGTGAGATTATATTTGATATAACATGTTTGTATTTTAACATACAGATTGGTTATTTTTTAGGCACCTTCTATCTGTCGACAGTTCGTTATCCAGTCCATGAAGATCGTAGTAAATATTTAAATATGTACGATTACAAACCCTCGTTACGAAAATATGGAGAAAATGGACACATTATCGCATTTGGAAGAAACGAGTGTGAAAAATGTCATTTTAGTTTTACAAAATTATGTAAAAAATTACAAATATGCTATATTAATGAGCCCACAAATTAAATCATATATTGTAAAAACTTAACAAGAACTAAGTTTAACTCACATGCAATCAAAATAGAATTACAAACAAAACCAGTGACTCCCGAATCCATCAAGGTTCAAATCTCCTCTCCGTTTCCCACTGTACTGAAATGTAACAGATCAGGTTTCTCCAATCTTTTTTTTTTTTTTGTTAAAATCCGAAAACTTGATTACAATACATTGGAAAGACTGGATTCAGTTTTCACTTGTAAAAAAGCAGACTTATACTCTAGTAAAATAAGTTTGGTACTTTATACTAAATGTAGTAGCTTTTAGCACCAAAGGATAACATTTTGTGTGACATTTACACAGAATGTTGTCCCTTCTTCTAACAATATCATTAATGCGTATAAAACCGTAAAACGAAAATGTTCCAATGCAGTCGACTAAGCTAAAAACACAGGAAATGCATGTAGAAAAAGATTGACAATTGTACAACACACCTTTTATAATAAATATCCCAAAAGCAGTCCTTTTTCGGTCACTGTCATTTTTTATCAAAACAACTATGTATATAAAAAATAAACACCGAAACCAAATAAAATACACCAAAATTTTTAGATAGTTATATAACTATTTATTAGGGGACGAAGAAACTGTGTCATCGGTGGTCAAAGCATTTTTGACTTGTTCCTTTTAGAGCTTAATGACTGGCTAAATGGTCACTATGCGTTTACTACACTGTATTCTTTTAAAAAAAAAACACACCAACCATTGCTTTACTTTTATTCTACTATTCACAGCTGATTCTTTTTCAATAATTTTCCCTCACAATCAGTATTTAAATGAAAAATTGTATTCGGAATATCACAAATCAAAGCAAAATAGATGCGATTCTAGTAAAAAAAAAATCTAACCTATGATTAAGGCTGAAATACGTTATAACATAAAAAAAGAAATAACTCTATTATTCGTTAGAATACTTTCTCATAAATAAAATTTTAAATACTCTACTTTCAAGTCTTTAAAGCGACTGGAACTTTTTATTTCACCTCTATTTACCTCCAGCGTTTTTGTTTTTGGATATGAAAATCGTTAGCAATATTTTAAAATGAGGAATTACAGTATTTCAGTTAAAGATGCAGGTGCTAATGAAAATGTTACACTCAAAATTAATTTAAAAGCAAAAAAATAGTACAACAAAACATTTTATTGATTTCAAAATGCGTATTATACACGTTTAACTACTTGAATATTTCCTTTTGAATTAATATAATTAATAAGTAACTACATTTCAACTTAAAAAAACAAATGTCCGTAGAGGAAACCAATTTTTATAATTACACACTGTTATAATAATTTGGTGTTGAATACATGTTCAGTCAAACGAATTAGAGCGACTACAATTTAATAATTTATCAAATATTTTAATAGCATTACAAGAAAATGTATTTTTATAAAAGTTTACAAGTAAAAAAATGATGTTCCTTTGTGTGTTAACAAATGTTACACAAAAATGTTACTTTATATCAAAGTATAGTGTTAAAGTTGATATTTCCTTTCAAAAATGCAATTAACCATAAGAATTTGAGACGAGATAACAGCTACAAAGTATATAAAACCATCGACTATGTGAGCAGCCACTAAAAACTGTTAACAATGCAGCATAACACTGACTAGTAACCATCACCCTTTAACTTTAGGGTACTCAGTCTACTGAAATGGATGATTCAAAAAACCTGCTAAGGAATTCTAATAGACCTGTTCTTGTCTAGGACACGGATTTTGTACCAATGTAACAAAGTAGTTAAATCGTAATATACAGTTTGTTATATGTTATGGGCAGCCGCCCAACGGTCAACCACAAGATGAAAATCCATGGCCGACATCAAAAAGAGCTTTTAACCGAGAGAGGGGAAGTCACGTTCATCGTCCACTTTTGGAGCCTTACGGTTCTCAGCGTTTCTGTCATCACCCTGAAACAAAACAACATATACATAACACTGATGCAAAACTTGAAAATTAACAGAAAAATCGCAGATTTCATAAATGTTTACAAGCCACATGACCGCCAAGCTTAGGCAACCCAACAGTGCACGATTGGTACTGATAACGAGAATTCCCTAAATCTTCTCGTTTTAATGAACAATGACAAACTGTTACCTCTACGCTCGAGATAATGCGATCGCCGATAGAAATTACACCAATCACAGCCGATAAAACAGAATATTGCGTTTTAATGAAATCTTATTGTTCAAATTTTACCGAAATTTACTTGCCAACGTGACGGAAATAAAGTTACTGTTCCAAACAAAAGTACTGGTAAGTAGTCATTTATCAAGGCTCTGTATTACATTTTATAATGCACCAAAAAATCATATAACATACAGTATATTACAATAATGGAACACTAAAACATCAAAACATAACATTAACAAAAGGAATATGGTTTATCACTTTTTTGTTTTAAAAAGTCTGCTTCAAGATCTATTTGTTCTATTCACATTACCTGTTCGTCTCCACGATAACGCCTTTCAGGTCTTTCACCACCATCTCTAGTTCCGCCGCCACGTTGATTTGTACGATTTCCTCTTGGACCAGATCTTTGCCCTCTTCCGCGTCCACCGCCAGGACGTCTATTGTCATTAAACTGTATATCGATGTCCAATATATGCTTCTGCCTGCCAACACGTTGTGGATATTCGGATGCATCATATTCTTCCTCATCCGACTCCTAAAAGAATTTATTAACAAAAGGCACACACATATTGAACGTACTACATACTCCTACCTCTTCCTTCTCCTTTTTCCTCAGCTCGAACATTTTTTTCCATTGGCTTGGGTCTTCTCCTTCTCCAGCTTTGCGGATATTATATTGAGGCTTCAAGCGACCAGCACGTTGGGCCTTCCATTCGTCTAGAGTCAGTTCCTTAGGTTCTTCTTCAACAGGTGCCGTTTCTACTTCAGTTTCTTCCCTGTAATTATAGTTAATATGAAGTCAATACATAAAGGGTTACATACAAATAATTAAAAATAAACAATACATTTTTCAGTAGCATTTTAAAAAAATAAGTATTATACTTACTTTTTCTCGGGTTCCACGATCTCTGGCTTGACATCTTCACCCCAGCTCTGATCCACATCATTATTAGGCCTATCAGCTTCCCTGCAAGAAGATGCAGATCAATCAAAATCGCTATTATTGATATATGGACTTACTCAATAACATCTTTATGAGATCCCCAGTTATGAGCCCCTGCACCTTCACGTTTGTCGATTGGTTTAACTCCTCTGTAACCATGGCTGCTTTCAGTATGGTGTCAATGACGAAATAAATTAATTTGATGTAATCACAAACAAACAATAGCAGAACGCCACTAGATGCGAAGATGAAAATAATTTTGTGCTATTCTATATTTAAAAGACTCAACGTGGTGATCTCAACAGAAATTCGGTAAAAACAGGATAAAATGCACAATTCCCAACCCTACCCTGAGATTTTTACTATACTGCTGTAGAATTTATATATCGTAGGTAATGTCATTTAAGTTTTCTCACAAAAATCAAGTCGGTTATATAAGAAACATGCGAAGCAACCATCTCATTACAGAATATGCCCTAATATCCGTGGGGTTCTGCATAAGCTGTGATCGGGATACTTACGTTTTGTCAGATCCACTTTGCCGGTCGAATTCCCTTTTGCCCCTCCTGTCATCGAAAGCCCTACGAGGACCACGGGGACCACCAGGTTTATTTCCAATGGCACGAGGCTCACGACGTTCACCTCTCTCCCCACGATCACGATTGCGATTCTCAAAGTTATCTCCGAACTGCTCTCGTCGCGGCCTATCTTCGCGGTCCCTTCACAATAACAAAATTTGTTTATATTTTACTTTTTTTTTCGTTAAAATTGTGCCCTGTGAAAACAGTGTGGTCTTATGTACCATCACTGATTTAGAAATACTCACACACCTTACCGTTAAAAAAGATGCAACTAAAAATTCTAAGTAAATAAAAACATAAATATGGCCACTTAATGTTTTTTGCGAGATAAATGAAATATAGAGGATGCAACAACACAGCAATTGATAAAGTTGTTGACATTTTAACACACTATTATTAGCAGTCGGTGAAAACGTTGACTTAACAAATAATTAACTGATCAAATCAGATAACCCTGAACTGAATATAGAGAAAAGTTGTATTGTGAATAATTAGTGCCAAACTGAAACAATTTGTGTACCTACCAACCTACTGTCACATTTTTGTTTTATATAATAGCTCCTTTATAAAACTGACCTGGTTCAGGCTTGTTCTGAGAATTGGAATGGTCAAAATTGAAATAATTATAATATCTTTATTTAATTCAAACTGCCAGATTGATATAAATTAAGTGGAGTATTTATGTTATTAGGTAGATCGGATGTTTATGCATTATGAAATGAGTGAATGATTAAAAAAAACGTGCTTACCGGTTTTCAGACGGTCCATTATAAGGTTTATCCTCGCGGTTTCTTCTGTTATTACGTTCCTCTCGATTTTCATTATTAAATTTGTTAAAGTTTCTTTCACGTTCAGGCTTTCCGTCAGCGTTAGACCTTTGATGTGTTGGCTTGGAATCTACAACAAGTTATATGTAAAATAAACACTGCAGAACACTAATACTCAGTTCAAAGAATCACATGTGCACAATTTCTGTAGAATGGCCGCCTCGGCGCCTCGGTGTTAAATTTAAACTGCACTCACCATCGCGTTTGTTTTCTTGAGCTTTATGATTTGTCTCCTTCGCGGTTTTTTTCTGAGCATTTGTGGGTTTTCCCTTTGCTGGTTCAGTTTTCACTTTGTTTTCTTTCTCGGCGATTTTATTTTTCTTTTTCAGTTCCTTCTCCTGCTCTTTTAACGAAAGCGTTTCTAATGGATCGGATTCATCGTCCAAAAAAAGCGCATACCTATTGGCAACGCCAATTCCGTACGTATTTTCCATTGTGGTCAACTACGGTAAAAGTCTTCGCAACTTCAGGATGTTGGAAGATTTGTTTATGGCTACTTCAGCCCTCTCTTATTCACGCACTCATTCAATGCAATATGGCCGGCTGCACGAGGTGAGCTGAGATCGCGCAACTGTGATCTGTAGTGTTTAACGCGCAGCTTCTTCGATTGCTATGTTTCTTATTGGCTGAGATTTTTTTATTTGTGATAGGATTTGTCAAGTCTGTCCGGTGCAAACCAATCAAATGCGGAATAAGATGTCAAAAACGTCTGTAGTTAGCGCTTTATTCGAATCAAATAAATGTATATTTTGGAATATAGAAGATAGAATAACATACAATATTGTGTTACCAAAAGAAATTACTTTGTGTTTAAAGAATTAATGTAAGTAGTGTAAGTACACGTATTTAATTGTAATAAGTAAATAACGTCTAAAGAAATATAATTAATGGGTATGTAACCATAGTTACAAAATGATGTGTTGAAGGTTGCAGTAACTTGACATTCATTTTAAAACTATTTGTCAGACAACCTATTATTATCTATTAAGTATAAAGGGTTGCTGCCTTTAGAAATTGAAAATAGAAGTACATATATACTGTATTTAGAAACAGTTATTTTATAATTATAATTAAACTAACGATATATCTGCATTTCAATTCAATTTATTACTGTTTTATTAAAGCAAATTTTCTATTCACTTCACTTAACTGACTAATGTGGAGGTTGTACGTTGTACATGTTGAAAATAACTCATATTAAATAAATAAAACATTACTTATAATAATGCGTTTAAGTGACTTTTTAAATTTCCGTAAAATGGTTGTGATGTGGTACCTAGATCAAACACGTAATTAAGAGGTGGCATGGCCCACCCGGTCATAAAAGAGTAAATTATGAAAAATGACAAAGACCATTAGTTTTGTTAATGTTTTTGTAAACAGGCCCACCCAATTTCATAATTTGATGCACGTGCTTGCAGTAGACAGGTAGATATGTACAATTTAGAAAAATGTATTAATAATACGTATGGCTCAAAAGTCTTACACAATTGTTATTATTGTCTGATATTAGTGATATTATACAATATTTTCAATTGTGTTAATTATTTTGCAGCCTTGTTTTGCTATTAATTAATGATAATGCGTGTGTTACACGGAACTTTTCTTTCTATAAAAAATTGAAAACAAAAACTTCGATCTGGCCGAAAACTTCTGATAAGTTTGTGTCGGCACAACGCAATTAGCGAATTCCGAATGATTTGATAATAGCTGATATAATGATCGTTTGTAAATAAAGCACGGGCTAAAACGTGTGTTTGCGCCGCGTGACTAGCGCACCCCCATTTACGCCAGCTTTGGAGGATTACTTTTGTTGGTTATGCCATCCTTGCAGTACCAGTAGTTCACCGCTAGATACCGACGTCTTTCAGCGCTTCGCGTCGAGTGTGCTTGAATCAAGCGCGCGTAAACTCTGTACACGCGGACTTCATTTGTCAACAAAGATGCGGAGGCCACTGTAGCTACTCGACACATCCATGTTACGCAGAAATGTCAGCGGAATTCAAGGAGGAGTTCATCCCGCGACAGGAAGACAGCAACCAGATTAATTCCGGTTTGATTCCGTCTACTTCCTCCTCGAATTGCTATAGTGAGAGTTTGCAGAGTTGTAGTGTGAGTTTTGACAGGTTATCGTGGCACGAGCACGTTTATAGGAGGCTCACGAATAAGCCTACCCCGCATTACATTGAAAACATACTCGGGTTGCAGGGTAAGAGTGCTGGACAGTTGCAGCAGGACAGTACGATGACTGGACATGTTACCCCCCCGGATTCCCCACAAAATAGTTTTTCTAATGTGCAGCAGGCTACTGTGACTTCGGACGTTAACGAACCTTTAAATTTGTCTGTTAAAAACGAGTTGAAAGTGCGAACAAAGACTGTTAAAGGTATCTTTATTTTTGTCAATATACTTTTCACACAAAAATACGTTACTCTGTGGAAAAGGTTGAAACATATCGAAGCCAACTTTGTTCCATAATTGGAAAAAAAATGCTGAACCTTTTTTTCTTGAAAACGGTTGTCTTAAATGCAATGAAACTCGTTGCAACTTTGACGAAGGCGCCAATTTTTGTGACACCTGTAGCTCCGTATAATAAAAAATTGCAGGTGGTTGTATTTAAACAATAGCAATTTTTTCGACAGGATCATCTAGAAAATAAAAATTAAAGGCAATGTTTTGAGGTAACATTTGTTTCTATAAATTTTTTGAACCTTATACTTCGTTTTCTTATTTTTAATTAACATTCAGCATTAAAGCATATATTAATGAAAATTACTCGGATATTTTTTTTATATTTATCAAGGCTAATTAAATTTTATTTAAAGAAAAAAGTTTTTCTATTCATTCGAGATTATTCGTCGCCACAGCAACTTTTTTATAAAGTTTTTTAACATTCAGTCAATTGCTCCAAAATGCTATCTATTAACTTTCGACATTGTTTTGTTTGAAAACCCTTCGACTGTTTTCTTTGGCAGGTCATAATTAAGGGAAAATTAACGGAAAAACGGATCTTAATTAATTGGTGCTTTGAAGAAATTTGCGAGTTTTAAAATTTCATCAGGTCGTCATTTCCTGAGCTAACCGCAGGGGTGGTTAGTGTAAACACCAGAGACCAAACCTGTGACATACACTCGACGACAAAATTCTTGGCACGCGTTCTTCGGTCATTTTAATTTTTTAACGGCCAAAATATATTATTTATGTACCTGCATAATAATTAAATAACATGTTAATTAATTGATTTTTGACTATTTATAGTCGTTTTATTTGTAGTATATTTGAGGGTTTTATTTTTTTCGTAGATGTGAGGGAAATCTGTTGTTTTAGGTTGAAATTTAATTTGGCAAATATTCCAATTCAAATAAAGGAAACAATAAAACAAAGTTAATTAAACAATTATTAATTGGGATAACGCGTAACTGATAATAATTACAGTAGGAAACTCTTTTAACGTGAAACGTTACAATTAATTTTAATTTGTAATACGTTATTAAACAGTTCGATGAAAACATTTCTGAAATGCTTTAGGTGCATTTTATTCGCTTTTATGTGAAAATAAACTACAATAAATATTTTAATTACCGATCCATAGATTAAACAATTCATTTGTTCAAGTATTTATGAATGCACTGTGTTTTGATAATAAAACGTCACTATATAATTTCATTTATTCCCTGACAATTGCAATTGCATTATTATTTATTGTTTATTGGTTACCGGCTAGCAGCTACTAGAATACATTGGGATTGGGATCATCATGCAATTTAACATATACCTATGGTTCATACAATGAATTTTTTTATTCAAGTTGTAACGACTCTACTTTTGTCGCGTTTTAAATAATCTGTTTCTATCTTCTTTTACATTGGATTTAAGAAAATTGTTTTTATTATCTTATTTTTGTAAGACACGTGCTTTGATTTATAGATACTTACCTTACTGACCCCTTGTTTTCTTCGGTCCCAATTCGTATACGTATCAAAACAAGTTAACATTATGCGGTAAAGACAATGGCGTTTATATCCAAGTATATGCCTCATTAAAAATATACTGTTGTTTGTCAACGATTATAATAGAGATTTTAGTGCGAAACACGATGTTTTGGTACAGGCCTAATAAACCGGCTTGATACCAGAGTACGTTATTATTTAAAAGGGTCCAATAAATGTTATTTAATAGGCTGTTATTTAACTATAACATGCGAGAACGCTCTAAGTAATTGCTTGTAAAATAAATCAATAAGTTGTACTCTTTTATATCTATATTTGGGAGCTTTAATTACAAGATTAAGGATACTTAGAATTCGGAAGCTTATTGAAATATTCACGCAGATAACATTTTTTTATGTGAAATGCATTTTTACAAAAAAAAAAAAAACGTATCGACTTGCTTTGGTTTATTTTACAGATAATAAAAAAATTGTATGACTAATTCGTTCGTTACTATACTAAATTTGATCGAAGCTTGAGTATTTTTAGAAAATATTGTTTATTCATGTTATTACATTGTATAGAAACATACCGATAATATAAGTATCCTTCTATGCCACAAAAATTTACCACGTCCTGTTTTTCTATTGTCTGTCACCGCAAAATCAGCTATACTGGTTTGTTAGCTTATCGGAGTTCCTCCATTGATAACTAAGCTAAGAAGCTACTCATTGTCGAGATTAAGTATTTATCACCCAAATAAATTCAGCTAAAAAGTCCTTTTAAGTGTAAAATTTTTAGTTTATTAATTTCGGATTCGATTTGCGGTCTAATTTGCGGATATTTTCTTTTCAGAACCTACGAGGAAAAGGAAAAAGACCCGGGAGCCGCTAGATCTGAAAGTACCACCCCCTTCCATCCAGGTATTGGGCCAGAACGCCGCGGTAGACCCAGAAACCATCTCCGAAGACGCGGACAACAAAAACAAGAAGAAAAAAGCGAGGACCACCTTCACAGGACGGCAGATATTCGAGTTGGAAAAGCAATTCGAACTGAAGAAGTACCTAAGTAGTAGTGAGAGGTCCGAGATGGCCAAACTCCTTAACGTCACTGAGACACAGGTAGGCCCAATAATTTCCCATGTTTACTGAAATACCGGTAAAAAAATCGTGTGATTTAAATGACGTAAGATATAAAATGAATTTAAAAAACAGCATAATTACTTTTTTGTTCACTTAAGTTCCTCAAAATAATATTAAAAGAGCAGAATGCTTTTGTTGGAAGCTTCACAATTAGGAAATTTCATTATAATTCCGTCATATCTTATATATTATGTGTCTAAGTTGGCAGTGCCAACAACGACCAGCAATACTGGCTTCTCGCTTTAGGGTAAATCTACAATAGATTGAATTTAATCCAGCGGAAATGCAAATATTTCTCAGATGTAACAAAGGACTCTTAATCTTAATATTTTTTGAACATTTTCATTAAAGAACTAGTGAATTTCGCAACGGGCGGATAGAGCGCAATGAGCCATTTCAAGGTTCTAGATTACAATCCATGCGATTTGTATCTGTAGGGTTACATGAAAAATAAAGAACTGGTGGGGGAAATAATTCGGGGAAAATGCTTCTGACAGCAAGCACTGAGTCGTGAAGCCATAGCCAGAGAGACCTAGACTTAATAAAGTAAAAATGTTTTTACTTTTCTATTTACGTCGTGTTAAAAGATAAACACCGATTTAAAAAGGCACCCTGTGAGTGAGTTGCACTTATCGAAGTAATTTCAGGTAACTTTTATTTCTGTGATATCGGCTCCTCCGCCATATTTTAGAATGACGTGCATTTGAAATCCATTTTATCTGGTGTTCCACAATGGTCTATTTTGGATCCACTACTAGTTCATATAAATACAGTAGATATTTTGAGAACCTTGAAACTTTCAACCACGCCACTTATGCTGATACACAAATTTTATAACATTGTGATTGTTCTAAAGTAGATGATGAAAAATGCGAAAAAATTAATTTTAATATATGAAAAACTGAAGTGTAATGATCATGTTCCTTCATTTCTTTGATGCTGTCGTGCACAATTATGTTTATTTTAAATTTTAAAGTGAGAATGAAACTGTAAACTTTTAATAGTGCCAGTTTTTAGTTACTGGGATTTGGCTTATTTTCCGTGTTTAGATAAACTTGTAAAAGATCGAATTGAAAGAGATCAAAATGTTGTAGATTTATATTTGATTTATATGTGTTTTTAAGAAGTTAATTACTAAATAAATCTAAAAACTAAACACTTAATGTTTTATTTATTTATCTTTACGGTTAAGTGTAAGGGTAGCGTTAACTATATAATCAAAACGTATATTATCAATCGCTCAGATATCAAAAATGGTTAATCCAGTTCGTAAATAGACTCAGGCCGTCGCGTCGCCGAAGAAAGTGATCATTAAAACCGTTTATTGTGCATTTGGAAGCAATTCAGTAATGTTTATATTTAGCAAAATAAAAACATCTGTACGGGAGCGACGGCAAAGAGAGTTTTCAGGTTTATTAATGATGAAGCTTTTTACTTAATAGCTGGAATCTCACAATCACTGGCGTTTAGCACTCTTTGAGGGTTCGCGGGGGTAGGGGAGGGGGGAGGGAGGGGGGCCGTGATGAGTTACTGCGGCAGCTGTCTCATACCAGCGCTCATTTAGTCCCTTTAGAGATTCGTGTTGGTGTTAATTGCCTACAAACTTACAAGGATCAGATATTAATAGTGCAGTCAATAACACATAAAATTTCAGCCCGAGCTCTGAAGGAATCTCGAAACCATTCGGTGGAACAAATAACGTTTTAGTTTAATTATTACATTTATTTCGCGAAAATTAAGTCACTTTCATGTCGAGGATGTCATCTGGCAGACTGTGTCGTGTTTCGGGCTATTTTTGCTTCAGTTTAGCGTCGTTTAACAAATTCTTAAATTAAGTCTCACTTAGCTGCGTCCAAGGTAGTAAAACGGATGAAAGACACTACAAAGTAAGCGCAATGTAAATGCAGTTCGCTTTGAAATATATTCATGCTGCCAATGAGCTAAGTATAAGTTAGAATTCGTAATGGCGTAAATTCTAAGCCGGTACTTAGCCGCTTCCTCATTTAAACTTTTATTGTACCATAAACGAGAACTACACATCATTAACATCAACAAGAAGTGTTAAAGCTGGTTAAATGTGTTTTAATTTTATTTTATATCCCTAATTTCATTTATTAGGTACGTCGTGGCGGTTCCTTAATTCCGATTATTAATTAAATTTATTGTTATAACTTTTGTATCAAATCGGTAAATTAATTCAACCTGCTTTTCAATTCAGAAGTGAAGAATAAACATGTTTACTTAGTTTCTGTTTTAAAATAAATGAAAAAAATATATCTTGTTTAAAACCGCATTTAATTTATTGATATAACATTCATATTTTGTCAATAAATGAATTCAGCCAGCTTTACAATTCGGAAGTGAAAAATACACAATTTTTACCTATGCTTCTATTCTGAAATAAACGAAAAAATTGTTATTTTTACAGACCACATCAAATGTTTGTTATAACGTTTATAATTCATCAATAAATATTGCTAACAATTCAGAAGTGAAGGGTAAAAATATTTACCAATATTTCTGTTCTAAAATAAATTAAAATTTGTTGTTGGTTTTTTAAATCCGCGTTAGATTTATTATTACGGCGTTTGTATTTCATAAATACTGTTTCACAATTCAAAAGTAAGGAATAGTAAATTTTTACTAATGTTTCTATTCAACAGTGAATTTTGTTAGAGCCACTCGATATACTCGTAAAGCCTTGAGTCACTAATTAAACATATTGTGGAACCGATATTAATTCTTTGTTAATTATATTCAGGTTCGCTTTATGCAATATGGAATATTTCCTATAGATGAGTACATCACAAAGACAGTATATTATAAATTTTAGAGCATAAAACTATTGTGCCTAGGTACACAATTAAATTGCCTTTAATATCACCCTTCGACCCTAATAATGCACCAATATAGAAATCAATATTTGACGGCAGAAAGATGCCAGTATTTTGCCAAGGCGTACTTTCGGCCCCGGATAGGAACTCGGTATATTTGATTAATTTAACAGTCTGTCTGTCTGTCTGGGTTATACCACTGTCGACATTTGGGTCGTTATAATTAGGTATTTTACTATTAGCCTTTTTGAACTCCAAGCTTGGCTCTTGTTTCTATAATAAGAGTGTGAGAGATCTGCCGACATCGCCTGGGAAGAATTTGTTTTTATCAGATTTTCCTTAACATTCCAAAATATTTATTTTTATAAGTCATATCTGTGAAATGAGCTCTACCTCTATAACTACGTTATTATCTTTACAAACATGCAACAATGACTTGTATTATTGTATTAACCACATGTAATAGATTGAGAAAAATATCAACCACAATATTGTAGTAGTGGTTCTGTCTATCGGTCAATATCCTACACGGATTTATCGACTCTCTTGGATTTCCTGTTTTTAGACCGAAAAAAAAACAAAAAATATTTAAGGCACGGTGGAAACTTACCTTTAACCAAAAATAATCTAAACCTAATTATACCCTGCGGCTGCATTGCATTTTGTGCCATTTTGATAAGCGACAAAGTAAAAACGTCTACGGCTAAATTTGTTTGATTTGATCTGTTGATTATAGCCGCTTCGTGTGGAGTAGTAAAACGAAAATGTAACTGCAAATAATTTAGCGGGATATTTACAATTTAACAGTCAATAAAAATATACTTATGGCCGCTTCAAAATGGTGGATGATAAATAAAGTCATCACAGAAACCGAGACTCTAATAGCGTTCTATTTATATTCGATGTCACAGCCTATTTGTTAAAATTTTATAATGTGGTACAGATAAATTTATAGTCAATAAAATTATTTTTAGTTGTACAGGGTGTACCAAAATTGTACGACGGTGAAGTAAATTTCTAGCCTTGCAAGCAAACTATATTAAGTATCACTTTTAAAAAGCAATTGAAGGTTATTTTGAAAAAAAAAAACGCTTAGTTTTTTTTAAATGCAACATGATAAATATTGATTTCTAAGTAAGGATCGGGGAACTTATCGGGGTCACCCTGTATCCCCCGCTTCAGGCCGAACCTATCTGTCACATATGTTCGAGTTAATTTTTCAAAAGTTGTATGCTCTCTGTTTTCAGTTCAATGGTGTGGAACTTATGCGTTCTCGCTAATATAAATTTTAACGAACGCCTCTTCGTAAATAATACAAAACGGGAAATTTATAAATACACTTAAACTGTTCAGTTCACCGAGGGGCGTGTTTTGCGGCAATTAAGTCTTAAGTTTGTTAATGAATTATCCGTTGTTTATTTTGGACTGTTGATGCAAAATATAAACACTCCTTTTTCGTTCTCGCCATTCTTACTTCTTTGCGTTCGTAGTGGAGAGGGGGTATTGGGCTAATTCAAACAAATTCAATGTTTTTTTTTAATCTTAATCGAATCAAGTCAAGCGATGTTCTTCGATACCAGTCAAGGTATGCAAAAGATATCCGAACACTGAATATAATTAATACAATCACTCATAGAAATATCCTGTATTCATGCTGTTCTGTTACCACCGATGACAAAGACTAATCACGTAAAAAACATCAAACTTTTTAAAATGATTGTAAAGCTCGTGGAAACGATTTGTCCGCTAGAGAACTCGGTAAGTATTCGAGATTTGCAGAAGAAAAAAAAAAGTTAGGTTAAGTTTAGCGAAAATCCTTAAATACGTAATATTTTAATTTTTTTTAATCAATTTCTTGCATTGAAATTTTTTTTATAAAAAAAACGACAGGATCGTCTTATAGAGGATACCTTGAAGTTTTCAAAAGTCTGCTTAGATTTTCTGTGCGGTTTAGTTCAAGAGTAGGTAATTAATTTATTGAAGCCAAACAGATAATTTTTGTTTTGAACGAGGATAACTCGGAGACAAATCATCGTACAAAGCTCTTGAACTGCTCAAATTAAAGAGGATGGATCAAACTAAAAGAGCTGACGGGTGGGATTGCTTAAAAAAAATATTCAAGCCCGTGGGCCTTTCGAAAGGGTA